AAAGATATATATTATACATGATATGTTAATAAAAATTCGACGTATATGAAATTGGAAATAGAAGATTAGAAAAACAAGCATGTTCTTTAAAAAATATCAATCCGAATGAATTTGTAATAAGCCTTAGACAATGCAGAGTATAAAAAAAATAACTCTATTGAAATAACTAGGTTAAAAAAAGAAGGATGCTGTTAAATTAGTATGGATTCTCTTCTTTTACAAAAGTGCAACGTAATTTTCTTATCTTCAAAACACAATCGTTTGATATATGATTATACAAGAATACTAATTATAAGAATACTAATTAAACATCTTGCTTCTCGACTGGTTTGAGTAATGTTGATTCCACAATATTATTAATAATAACGTTATTCATAAATAAAAGTTATTCATAAATTATCTTTATAATCACATTCATAGATGTTAGATAAGAGATTAATATAATATTTTTGCTTTTTAATACATTTCTTTCCACTTTACATTAATCGGTCATATCTCTATTTGTCGGTAATAAATATTTATAAAGATGTGATTGTGCATTTTATGCAATACGCCGATGGTGCAAAGGGTACTGACATTATCGTAAGATAAAAGACAATAAAGGATATTGCGACAATTGTGAGAAGGAAGTGATTAGTGTATTGATATTTGCACTATACGCTGTTGCAAGTTGAAAGCACTTAACTCAAGATCCTCTGAACAATTCGTATCGATTAAATATTTACAATGGCTGACAATGTCTGTTTCAATTCAATTCAATGACATACATGATACACGTGATGAAGAACGTAATAAGATTAGATAAGATATTACAAGTTAATTGAACTTAAAAAAAATTTTCCAATCCACGTCAACGAAGAAAGATCGAGATTGAAACTTTATTCGTATTAATTTATTCTATATTTACATTAATTTCTTATCTGTCGAATTTTCTTTTATTTATGCAAAGATTAATTTATAATTATATCATAGATCTTTAACTATTTTGCATGTGATGTTTAATGTTTATCATCTCTAATTTTTTGTTTATTCCTTTGCATAAGTAAACAAAGCATTGTTTATTTATGCAAAGATAAAATGTAATAAAAAAACTGTATTTGTTTTTTAAATATTTTATTTACAATAATTAAATTGATGGAAAAATTTGTAAATTGAGAAACGTTACACAAAATATCGGAAGCTATTTTTATCAGTCGGAGAACATTCATTGTTGACCTCGATGCACTTTTTCTCTATTACGAAGGAAATTTTTCGATATTCATAAAAAACATTTTTAAAAAACTTGATTTTTTTTTTTGAAAATGAGAAAACGAGAGAGAAGCCTTTTGCAACAATCTGTTCGTTTAAAATCAGATACGAGTAAGAAATATAAAAATACACGGAATACTCACGTATTCCGAAGTCGTACAATTTGTCAGTGGGTAAAACGATAGCTGTCAGACGCGTTTCCCACGTTTTTCTTCTCGCATGCTCATTGAATTAGCCGGAATTAACGTTTACCGTGTCGCGTTCGCGATTCATTCACCAGACGAAGAATGGACGCACGAATGTGTTGGACAATAGTGCCGATGGCATATATCGGCCCAAGGGAATCTCTTGCAAAATATCGGACGACGAAAATGCTTTTGTTAAGGCTTATTTTTTCGAAGCCTGACTACAAATGTAACGAGCTTTTCAGATTAATCTTACCAATCGGCTCGCAATAATCGGCCCTCGTCCCTGTTAGTTTACATAAGCTTCCCTCCAGACGCTCGCTCGAGGAATACGATATTGATTCTAGTGAACTCGATTCGCGTTTCTTCTCCCATCAACGTCTACATTTACGACCCCCTTTTGTATAATGACCCCCCCCCCCTTATTGATTATTCTGTTTTGTGAAATCATAAACTGACGTTACAGCAATCACAATGATTATAGTAATTTATAAGAGTAATTTATACAGATAACAAAGATTTCGTATAAGTCTACGATAATGTGAGAATCTGGGATATGTAATTAAAATATGGGGAAATTAATTTCTTTACAAAGTTAACTATACTCGGAGAAGAAAATTGTAACTAGAAATTTGTACACAAGTAGCGCTCCAATTATGTATAATAAAGTTGTAATAAGAACAAATTAACAAGTTGTATGAAAGAATCAAGAAAATATTAGTCATTTGTAATAAATCATTAGATAAACTATATATTGTATACCGTTGTTGTCAATATATATTTTTTAAATAATTCTTTAATTATATTTTAAAACTTATCTTAATGATATTGTGGCATTATGCTTACTTCACATAAATATATAATATGTCTAAATTGGAAAAATGTAATGTCATATTCTATTTGTGTGAAGTCTATATACAACTATGTAATTATAGTTGAGTAGCTATTTTACTATCAATTAATAATTCACATCTATTGTTATCGTGACTATATATTTTTATTGTATTCAATTCTACTTTGAAAAACTAGTTGTAAGTACTTAAATTTCATAATTGTATAAATATATAAAATCATAAATATTGCCATTTGCCAAAAACTATTCTGTTTTCTCTCAGCGTAGCGATTAATCAACTAGTGAATTTAACTAAAAGTTTTCTTCGAGATGCCTGGATTACTTTTAACGTCCAGAACGTTTCCCAGATTACATAATTTCATTTTTACATTTTTCAAAAGCAATTTACACAAAAGCAAGACATTTTTACGTTACCTAGTCCACATGCTATCCCATATTGTCCAAATTGTCGTTGCACCAGGTCACGTTGGCACCAGTCAGTGACCCATAAAACGGTTAATGAGGGTTTCGAGTTCTCGGGGTTCGGTTCGATTCCCTCGTCTCGTTGTCTCGTAAAACCGTAATGACAGACGATCCCGAATTTTCTGGAGGAAACCTGACCACAACGAAGGACGATACGCGGAAAGAGAAGAAACACTAGTCGCGATCGAGTGTCGATGCGTGTGGCGTCGACCGGCCATACTCGCGCTGGCGAATGTCCAAAACTCCTCGACGACGAGAGTCGAGAACGACGACGCCTGGTCGGCGCACTATATTTAAATCGAAGATCTCGCGGAGGATAGGCCCTGCAAAAGGTCGACTGGCCACCGAGGCCAGCTGCTACTGCTGTCAATATACAAATTAGATACGTTCTGTCGTGATTTACACGGGGGGGAGATAGTTTTGCTGAAATATGTATCTAAAAATTTGGCCAGATAAGATAACCCTAAAGATAATTTTGTAGGAAATAAAGATAATTACGTATAGGACGATCAAATTATTATTTGCTAGAGTATTAAAAAAATTGTTTGCATTTATTAAATAATGGATATCCCATCGAGTTAATTTTCAACAGGAGATAGATTAAAATTGTCTCTTGTTCTCAAAAATAACAACTCAAATTGAGCGTATCAGCGTATCGATAATTGGCAATAAAAAAAATTTTTTATCGTCTCATATGTGTGAAGAATATTTCTGAGCTTCCGATTGATCGCTGAAAAGCGTGATTTTGCAATCGCTTTTTCCGTTGCCTAATATAAGAAGACATACATAACTACTGATAAATATAAATTACATCGTATATCTCTGCGATGGTGCCTACAAAATTAGCTGCGATGACTATGACGACTATTTACAAGGGACAAGAAAAAAAGATGATTGAAGACTATGAATATGTAAGATATAAAAAAAGATATAAAAAAAGTGGATTTCTCAATTTTCTGTCTATGCACGATCGACTTTCTGAAAATCATGTCTTCGATTGGGATACTGTGATTGTGGAAATTTTAGGTAATTTTAAATGAATCTTCTTTTATCAAGAGATTGATGTCCAAAATGGTACATATG